AAACGTAAGTGTTCGGGCAAGAGACTACTGTTGTAGGCATCCACCAACTGCTGTGAATGCCCAACGTGTAGTGCGTCTATCTTACAGCCCAGTCAGTCCCCCACTCTGTTTACGATTCCATCTTATTCGCGAAATGTCGACGTCAGCCCCCCTCAAATGTTTTGCAATTACAGTACGGGCTGCATTGAATACCACCTGCGGGTTAACGGAGCAACAACACCATGTAATCAACAACACAAGGTGACGAAACCCAAGAGCTTGTTCACGAGAGCCTGGGGACCACGGGCTTGAAAGCATGCTACGCCATCCGTGTGACACCTACATAACGTCACGTATCGTCCTGCGGCAGGCAGTTGCCATGCGTTTGGTCTCCGCCTCGTGTCTATCGAACCTCTAGTGAGTTCTCCGCGTGGAATGGAAGACTTGTCCTGAAGTTGCTGAATCGCACAGTCAAGGTCCTCCTACCTAAACTCCGATCTCGGCTACAAAAAAAAAAAGAAAAAAGCACGAAGAACACGGGCACCATACTTGACTTCGTCTCAGCAGGGGCGATGGCGCGTCTGGATGTGGTTTGCTTCTCAAGAGCGAACACCAAACATGGTCTCATGAAGGGGGGAGGGGGCGGGGGGGTGATATCAGACATTTACCTTAGGTACAATACCACTCTTTATCCGATGCCCTGTTGCGCACAAACTTGGCTTGATGTTTGTTCCCTTCTGTTGATCGGCAACACATTGTTTTGTGCCGACGTGTCGTTAAACAATGGACCATAATTTTCACCCACACATGACACGCATGATTACGTGGGTAGTACTCCGTGCGAACCGGCAGATTACCAGGGCGGGTTGTAATATTTTTCAATGCCTGTACATAGTCGGAGGCACTTGAATTTAGTATCAAGTGAGGACAACAGCTGCTCTGTGTGGATACTGTTGTACCCGGCGTCGGAAAACATCATAATAAAAACTTCACGCTGACGACCTGACTACAGCAGTGAGACTGAAGCACAAATATTACACGTTACCCAATAACCTAACACTCATGGCCGGCCTCAACCTTCACTCTTTGGAGTTATTTTTTCAATCCCGCGTTAGCAACCAACAAAGGCGGTCGCTCTGGCCTCTGTCTTGTCATTTTGATTTCTGTGCAAAAAGGTCAGAACAGGCAGATAGGTAGATCTCCGCGTGTCGAAAGAAACGAGACAAGTGCTCCCGAAAGAGGCGAGCTGGTCAGCGGTTTTTCACCACGGGGTCAGTGATTCTTATAAAAAACCGGCAGAACGCCGGGGTACAAGCAAACGCGGTCAAACTCGTCAACCCGGAGCAGCTAGGATATCTCAACAACGATACAAATGTTTTTGAAAGTGTAGGGGGGGAGGAAGGCGGGGGACCGTCTACACGTCGCACACGTCACCAATCACCAACCCCAACCGGCCGGATCCGCGTCAAGCGATTGTTGTCGAGAAAAACAATAAATTTCTGCCTGGGTGAGATCACCCTCGGAAACGCGTGTGCGCCTGTGTAGCGCCCCCCATAACGCGCAGAACACGCGCTCGCTCGAAATCGTCAGTCCGGTGCGCCTGCTGGAAACGCTGTCCATCTACCAGTCGACAGAGAATGTTTGGTTGGGGTAAGGGCGCGCCCTTTTGCCGAGCTGCTGCACCCGGATTCTGGGTCCGAACGCCCAGACCTCCATGGGCAAGTCAAGTCACGCAGCCTGGTTCTATCGCCAACAAGTACTTTTCGGTCAGGGTTGGTCACGTTCGTAGGCCACCTGGCGCTCCTCAGATTGCCAGCTGGTTGCATTATATTTTCGAGCAACGAAGGCCGCAAGCGTACCTGTTGCAAGTAGTTCCCCGAGTAGATATACAGTCAGTAGTCGCACCTAATAGAGGGGGACGGACGCCTTGAAGTCCATCATCAGCACAACAACTTACCTTCGGAGCCATGATGTTGAACTCCTCCGCGAATTCCTACTCCGGGGCGGGGGCGGGGCAGCAAGCGTTCTTCTCCGGCGCGGGTTTGCTGTTGCTAGGTAGGGCAAAGGGTCTCCGGTCTGTCTCTGCCTGCTGGTGTGGTGTTCCGCGCGGTGTGGCTGACTTCGATACTTCGATTGCCCCTGTGATTCGGGCTCTCAACCCGACAGCGAGTTATTTTCTCGACTGTCACTTCCATCCCCTCCTTCTTCCACCGGACGGATGCTAGATATTTTTTTTCGCTCTCCGCACCGACTTATGTCTGTCTGCCGTGTAACACCTTTTCCCTCTGGATTTCATAGTTGCAGCACCGCGCGCGGTTTCTAACACCTTCCTCTCCAGGTACGTGGTCGTGGGTGTGTTTTCGCCCGGGATGGCTTCCCCGACGCATTCCAAAATGCTATGCCTCTGCTTTGATTCACAGCGCGTTTCGTGAAAAATTATCAACAAGTACTCCTGTTGTGTGTTGTACTGCCTGTGTCAAGAATCCCTGCCCTAGACTATTGTGTGTAAGATGGTCCGTTCGTGTGTGTACAACGGACTATTGTGTGTAGTACAGCACTGCTGGCTCTGCCGTTAGTACTGGCTCTGCCGGCCGGCAGGGTATGTACAGCAGTGCAACACGTTACTGTGCCGCACTGCTGTAATAATACAAGAACAGATGTTAGCAACTATTGGAGGATTGGTGGCATTCATACGACCCCAAATAAGTGTGCACCGTCAGGATTTTTGACAGCGGTTCCTCTGAGAGACTGAATTGCTGCTGCTGTGGTGCGGCGAGCTAGACAAATAACCAGATTCTCGCGAACCTCCGGACCTTTCGTGCGGTACAATAAAGTACCGAGGTAGCTTGGATCTCGTGACCTGCTGTAGCTATGGATCCAAAAAGCAAGACCGCGGACGACGGCTGGTGTAGCCATACATTGGGAGGCAATGGTACCGCTGCTGAAACTAGACTACCTAGATTGTCTGGTTGTATGTCAGGCTTTCATCGCAGCGTACAGCAAAGGTATGATCCATGGCTGTGCAACCAGCAGGCTTCGCACCCGCCTGTACACAAGTGCATCGACGATGTGAACCGCCATAGCATGTTCTTTTAGGTGGATCGTGTGGTTGGAACCTCTCCCAACTTGCAGACTACTAGTCTACAACGTGCCTTCTATGTAAACTAGAATACTACGACTAGTAGACTAGTCTAGTCTTTCTTGTAGACTAGTATGACAGAGTCTACCACCGCAAGTTGACAAGAGCGACTAGCGCGCTGTGTGTAACTACGCCTGTACCGTTTCTATGTACTTAGTCTAGGGATACTGCCGTCTTTTGATGTTTGCAGAGAAGGGTTGCTTTGCTACACCCTGGACTAATGTTCACGAAGCACAATAATATTGGCACTACGGGGCTTTCCCGAAAATAATGACCAGGAAGAGTTTTGACAAACATAACCTTGCCGAACACGGCAGTAGATTAGATGATGTGGCAGGCCATCTTGCGGATTGACACTGTTGCTGCTTTCTCCTGTTGTCAACTTTGTGTCAACCTGACATGCTTGAAGACTTCGCAAACTGCCTATAGATTGACATTGCTGCCCACAATATTACATGTCGGGTTGTAGTCTATGCATTGTATTTGGACTACTAGTCTGAGGCTCGCAATATATATTCCTCTGTTCCCAACACGAGAAGAACGGCGATACACCATTCCATTTTTCGAAACACGTGAACCCCGAACGCAATCGCGATGGATATCATCAGCTCCCAGCAACGGACCAACGTACGTAGTCGCCTGTCGAAGCCACAAACCCATTCAGGATACAAATCCTGCTCATCAACGTTCGTTCATCGTGATCTACCGCAGACGTTTAAAAATCAATAGATTGGCTTAAGGTGGACGGGCTGTGATAGAACATAGATTAGATGTGGTTTGTTTTTGCGCGCTCCACTTCTGTTTGGTGTTGCCCTCATGAGGTTCTCGCACAATTTGGCAAGTTATTCATGCAAATCGCACCCACGAACGCCACTGCTCAGCCAACACAAGGACGTTGTGGTTGATATTCAAATCTTTGTTGTGGGCGATGCCCATCGATGGATACCTGGACTCTGACGCATCGACGAATACATCAAGTCTACACTCCAAACATTGTCCTTGACAGTCAATACTGCAGACGTTCATAATCCACTGCTCCTTCTATGTAGTGCACAACGCTGAACAGCGTGTCGAATCCATGGTCGACGTTGACAATGATGCTTATCGCTATGCTTTATCGCTATGCTTTTACAATGGATACTAGACTACTAGATATACCTTTCGAGAGGCAACCTTCCGTCTTTGTGGAAAGAAAGAGACTACATGTAGTTGACACAGCCCGACACAGACGATACAGCAGTCCTCTTTACATTTTTTCTCCTTGCGTTCTGGTTTGAATCCTTTGTATTCCCAAAACAGGTGGTCATGACCTAGAGGTAAAAGGTTGTGGCAGCACGACCTGGCACATGGCCGGAACTTCAGGGTGTGCTACCGTCTGCAGCTGCACCTGCCGTGGCGGAATGCAGCCTTGATCCAACCACTAGGGCGGGCTGGCATCACAGAGAGAGTTAAATGACGTGTTCGGCTCCGTCCCGTCCTCCCACCCTTCCACTCCAACCTTCCACACGATGTGGTTGGTGTCCAACCTGCCGCAACTTGCACCTTTGCGCACCTGTGTAAAAAGACAACTACAACCCTAACACGACTGGTTGATGTGCGCCGTAGATAGATGCTACTACTGCTGTACGTTCTGCGTTGGTGTACACCTGCTGGATGGTGCGTGCTAGTGTGAAAACAGGTAGTGTCGTGTTCTGACATGGAGACCACCGAATCCCACACTTTCGACCAAACCCAAGCGGTAGGCACCGCTCGAAGTCCATTGACATTGACGTTGACAATGGGTGCGTGCGTGGAGCCTTGTCTACCTCCAAATCATCTCGTTGTGAGTTACTGCTTAGTTCCGCATGGTCGCGAATCTTTGTGAGTTGTGCCGCGGGTGTAGCAGCGGGACAATGTAGTACAGTGCTGGTGCTTGCCTGCGATGCAGGTGTTTTTTCATCTCTCTACATAGCGGGGTGGCAGATGCCGAGGAACCGCAACCGTGCCGGGCTCGCCCCACAGTCATGGTATGAGGCGGCCGCGAGCATAGAGGAAGGCTTGTGGATATTGGCGGAAATGCGATGGCGCCTGCGTAACGGGATGACGTATACCGGGACTACCAAGTGCCGATAAATATGTACGAGGTATGTATGGTAAAAGCTGTCGCCACGAGCTGTGGGAAGGTTTGATTGTGTTCAATTGGGGTAGAAGGGCGATTTTGTATTGCCACGATAACATGGGTGTTGGTATGTATGATGTTGGCTGCACCTCCGTTCACAGCGCTAAACAAATGAGCGTTGTGAGCTTCGTTCACTGCATGTTCCCCACACCGCCTTGCTGCGCCCAAGTCTTCCTGTAGGAGGAGGAGAGGTTCGTTTGCGTCAACGGGAAGGCAACCTTGCGGTCCTCGCGGTCCAGGCGCGAGGGGTGCTGTTGACGCTGCTCCTGTGAGAAGCAACATCACATGGCGTCTACTCTGTCGTTCCCCATTCTGCTCACAAAGATGGCATCAGACTTGCTACTCACGCTAGTGCTATTCTACCCGCAGTCCGGACACAGCGTCGTTCTTGTCTAGAACAACAAGTCGCGATGGGAGGTTGGATTCTTTGGCCACGGAATCGATTGACCACTACAATGCGTTGCATGAGGATAGGCCGGCCAGGCCCCTGCCAACATTGCCGTGACTCCCATCCCAGTCTCAAGAGACTTACTGGTGGACGATTGGGACGATGCTTCGTTGTTGGAACCGGCAAGTGTTTTGGCAGGACACGGTGATTTATTTCCCTTGGCTCAGGTAGGTCGAAATATTGGGGGCATCAAGGACCGAAGCCATCGTAGCGGCAGCTGGAGACGAACGCGGAACCCCCGAGGAAGCGAGTTTACGTATAAGGCTGAACAGTATGGTGAACCCGTAAACGGAGGTTGCTTTTCCCGTAAAAAAAGTTTACATTTTTCTTCGTATTACTGCAGTACAATAAACCTAAAAAAGATTCGCCGCCTGCTTTAGTCGCAGTAGAAGACCCCAACCACCAGAAAGGTGCTTCAGAAAAGAAATTATCTGAACAACACACACAAACGGCATCTCCTCTGTACACATGATGACCTCGAAACAATCTGTGGAACGATCCCTCCGAGGAATGACCTTACTTGGAGAACCCTTCGATCAGTGGAACGCAGCCAATGGGGTACATGAGTTTCGTTCTCGCGTGAACGGATTTCGAGACACTCCGTGCGTGTGTTTCTCTCGGCCCAAGGCGGGACGTTCTTTTGCTGTTCCTTCCTCAGGCGTGTCAACTCAGAGGAGAGCCCCGTGCACAACTCTCTCTTGTACCACTTTTATCTCCCCTCCTCCCCCCGGTGTTTGCCATCGGGGTTGGGTTTTCGTCGCTGGGCAACGACGTTGTAAAACAAGCCAATTCACTTCGTGAGCTCGGCAACCAGGTTACCGTTTTTTTTTTTTTACCTCCGGTTGTTTTTTTGGCGGTAACCATAATGGTGGTCGAGTAGATCATGTTGTGCGGGGTGGAGAACCCTCACTTCGTGCAAGGGGGATGATCGCACCACGTTGTGTTAAAATGGTCAAGCACCCTCGAGGCAGTTACACAGTACTTACAACTGTCTCAGGAATTGAAAGTACCAGAAAATAAATTACGTCATACGCAGCTGTCATCCGTACGCAAGGAAGAAAGCACAAGATGCCGAACACCCTTAGCAGGATGCAGCGCACCCTTCATGCGACTCGCCGAATATCTCACGGCGCTTCGCGCTTGGTGATGTGAGAGCCTGGTCCGGNTGTAGCCTCTTCCCTAAAGAGTAGCCGCAATCCGTGCACACGCACGGCTCTTATAGCCCACAACCGCCAAGTCAGGAGAGCGTTTGTAACAAGAAGCCGAGGGATCCAACGCTCTAATGGCCAGAGGCAATTGTATCAACTTTTCACAGGGCGTCAGCGGCACTTTCGTACAAGAACCTGAAAAAATTCTCTAGCCAGGAGCAACAAAAACTATCAAGCCGTGGTATCGTGGTATCGTTGTCGTGTGCTCATCATCTGGGTGTGCCGTATGCCCTCAATCGACAAGAAACATGGCAATGCCGCGGTCTGACAGAGAGTGATACTCGTCCGCACCCCCCAGCCACATGGCGAAGCACAAACCAAAAAAACTCTCGAAATCCTTCGTTCACATCTTCGCGACGGCCGAAGTTTCTGTCGCCGCCGCTGCTGCCTCGGTCGCTGCGGGCAACAAAGCTCCCAACCTCTCCAAGAGATATGTGGGCGTTTTGTCGCCGCCGGCCTGCAGCCCCACGACATCGGACATCTCGCTGACCCCTGTCAACACCAGCGCGCTGGAAACCCCTCCGGCGTTGCCGAACATTATGTCCGTGTCCAACCTGTCGCCGACCATGAGCGTCTTGGATGCTGCGAGGCCATTCTGGTTCATCAGTTGGCGGATGAGGAGAGGGTTGGGCTTGCCGACGACCACTGGTGCCACCTGTAGCGCGTGTAAGCGTGCGTGTGCGAGTGTTTTTTTCATTCGAATTGGCATCGACGTATCGACAAAGAAAATCGGACGGCTCAAGGAAAAACATCGGCCTTCTAGTCCTCGGGGTCCCCCGACGGGGGGGGGGGGGCGGACTTGCACGCATATGTACGCGTGCACGCCTTTCTCACGGGGAGTGCTCGGGTACCTAGAGAAGTACAACAGGCCGGCGTGGTTCTTGTTTGGGGTTCTGCTAGCACGAGGGGGATACTCGCAATGATAGTAGCAACAGGCGCCGGCTAGAGTTGCGTAACGCTTGTGCCAAACGCGACGGGAACATCAGTAGGAAAATAGTTCGAGGTGCGCGAGAGGCGTGGGTGGAGAGGTTGCCGACAGAGTAAACTCATCGAAGAGCGAAAATTGACGGCAGAGCTACACTTCACACCGGCAGGGACGCTTTTCTGAAAATGCAAATATTCGGGCAACACGATGCATGCCGAGACGGGAGACCAACTAGCCCATGGGTCGTAACTCCATCACGCGAAATGCCATCCCCTTCCTCGTCCCCCAACCAACAGTCTTGCAGATGGGCAGGCAGGGGTCGCCTCACCCCTGAGGCTGTTTGTATGCTGGCCAACATAGGCCCTGTTCCAGGCATGAGCAGGCTTCCTACTCGGTCGGCGACGTCCGGGTTTGTCCCCAAGAAGTGAGCCCCGCTCTGGATGTAGCTGGAGGCGACACACAGCTGGCGAAACCCGAAGGACGTGTCCAGTCCCACCACAACAGCCCCAACCTGGTTTGGCCGACGAATAGCGCCGACAATATGGGTGGGTTGGGAGAGATAAGCAGGGCTAAAAAAAATGCTAGTTTGCTGAACACGATAAGCATGGGTTCGTTTCCGAGAGCGTACTCTGGTTACTCCGTTTTCTGGGGGGAGTTGGCGGTCGGAGTTAAGAGCAGCACCTCATGCAAACACCGGTATACCAGCCAACACTACCACCAGCGGCCTCATCTCTATAAACACCATTCACCACCGATGCCAACACCTACAGCACAACCACCACAACCAATGCAGCACCACGCTCAACATGGCACCACACTTGCAACATGCCCTACCTCTGGGTCCGTGACATTCTCACGAAACTCGTCCTCCGTCATACCCGGAGCTGGCCTCGCGTCCTCCTTCACGACCCTCAGCCCAACCATCTCAAGCTCCTCTTCGAGTCCCTCCTCCCCGATCATGTACACGGTCCGTACATCCGGATGAGAGAGCTTAACGTAGGCTGAACAATAACGCGCAACAAACACGATCAAGAGGAGGAAATGAGAGCCTTGTTTGCATGCGAGAAAATGCGAGGGAATAGTGTTTGCTACAGTATAAGTTGCGAAAACGCTTGAGCACGAGAAGGCTCCAAATGAGGACAGAGGTTGCGTCGGTTAGGTGCGAGCTTCTCACGTGAACATCAGGACGTGACTACGCATGCTGTTGCCTACGCTACAAAAAAATTCTTGGGGCCCGAGCCAACACAGGCATTGATTGTAGGCGACACCACCAGCGACTGTTCGTAGATCAACCCACGCTGCTCTCTCACCAGCGATCGCCGAACCAGACGTGACGATGTCTTCGACACCAACGCCATGCACCCCGAAGCCCTCGAGCTTGACACAGTACTGTCTTCGGCTCTTGCTCGAGTTATTCGTCACGAAGAAGGTGCGCTTGCCGGCGCGCCGTAGCGCCTTCACCGTGTCCACTATTGGTTCACGCCATTACCACATCATGACAACGGCAGCGATGACGGGATGTGACAGTGAAGAGTCGGAAAGATACGAGCATGTGTTGGGATGGGTGATGCTCTCAAGGTAGGATAGTTCCCTCTTTCACATTACTGCTGTGTTTTTCTTTGAACTAAATTTGCCCAAGTATCACGGTGGACCTGAGGAGCTCCCATGTGCCACCTCCAAGCTCGTCGTATTCCAAGTCCTAAGTGCTGATTTTTCCGATGTCCTAGACACACACACTAACTTGTCGTGCATCAGGCTTGTAGCTTCCATCTCGTGTGACCGTGGTAGAGGGGAAGCGATGCCTTGTGCTTGACGCGCAAGTACTCACGTGAACCTTCGATGGCGTGGCTGCCTCCCCATAAAACGCCATCGCAATCGAACACGAAGGCTTCGTACCTTTCATTCAATGCGACGTTGAGGTAACGAGGTCGACCATGGCCGACAAGGTTTTAGCGAGGTGCCAAAACGTGTGCATGCAGCTAACACAGAGCCCAATTGACAGCGATTTTTGAACAAATAACTGTTGTCTTCTGCTGCCGTCGATGGCGTTCTCAACTGTCACGCACCACGTGATGAAGCAGCACCAATCTTCTCATGGACACACATTGCAAACATTTCACGACTCTAGAAGACAAGCCAACCCTGCCGGAGCTTTGAAGGGCCATTCGCATGTGCGGAGTCCCGACCTGAACTGCCATGCACGTAAAAAGGATCATGCAGCAGTGACGTGCGTGCTGGCGCGTCCGGGCGTACTGCTGCGGGGCTGTGCTGTAGAAGGCAGCAGTTTGGTCCGAAAACTCCGTAATTCTGGGTCGAAACCGTTATCTTCCGCCTTCCCAGACCTACAGATATCTTTTCCGGGTCTGCAGCGGCTGCTCACACCACTCTGCTACGTTGTACGTCTTGTCTCAGTAACGGCGTGCGACGGCGGCGTGATCGGCCAAGGTGGCCCAAGGCCGCCCGAAGGACTCGACCCTACTACTGCTGTACCGTTCCCAACACCATCCGACGGCGACGAACGACCGATCGATTCGAAAACAACTGCAGTGTAATGATGCAGTACAGCAGTAGATCGCCTTCGCGAAACCCTACACAATGATGCACGGCCGTTGCGTTCGAGGTATAACGGGCACATATAGACGTGATTACGGCATGCTGTACTTCATATGTCCTAGGGTTTGATGGTGCAAAATATTCTACTTGGGCACTGCGGCAGTCACTGCTCTCCCTACGTGGCAGCAGCATTGCCTACGGCGAGACCCGACGCATACGTTGCGGACCTACTTCAATCCTCCGACTGTTTGGTACACAAGCAAAGGTGTTTCCCTTACTTGCTGACAAGCGCTCTCTCGGTTTCCAGAGTATCGACCCGCTGGATGTGATTCCCTGCACCTTCCATGAGAGGGCTTGCAGCCATGCTGTTGATGCTGGTCTTGCGTGGTCGGGCGACGGCCGAGTTGCTGCCGACAAAGGCGGAGATATTGCTCGTACGACCTCTAGCACCCACTGCAAGCCACGCGCCGCAACGAACGATTCCGGTGCTAAGGGTAGCAAGACGCGACAGTGTTCTGAACGATACTATGGCTGACCAGCGTGATCGCACGGGTGACGCGTACGACATGCTCTGTGCCTGTGATCATGACACATGCGTCGCAGGTCGGCAGGCAGCACAACGAGCAAGCGCGAGGTGGCTCCGCGAAACAACATACCATGGGATTAAAACGGAAACGATACAGCGGCGCCCCTGGAGAGCAGTTGCCTCCAGCCAGTCCCCTCCAGCAGATGTTGTTGTCCATGCGCGCACGAACAGCGTGACAGTCCGGGCAGCAGTCCGCTATGCAGCATAGGCAACTTCTCCTCTGTACCACTACATTTGCTTCTAAACACGCAGCAGGTCTTGCCGCGGCCAAGTTCCTCGGCCCTTCTTCCTGTCGCAGAGGTGCGCACTTAATCATCATGTCTTCAGGGTCGGCAGGACCAGGCTCTCTTGTCCTTGACAACAAGAGCAGCATTCGCAGCGTCTGGCACCGTTCATCTGTTGTAGTAGCACCAAGGGCTAGAGCCAGGGCAGTCGAAGCGGATATCTTCTTCGTCGAGGTGGGGTCTCTTCGTCGTCTAGCCGAGGCTCAGGTTTCGGATGGTGCTCGCCCGGGCAACCGGCGCTGTCCATGTTGGCAAGCAGCAGGAGGAGGAGCAACAGCGATGCACTATTACGGTTCCGCGGGGGAGCGATGGCAGAAGGTGAGTGAGAGCTCCAACTGGGATATAGTCTAACGAAGGATGCCTAGAGAACCAGTTGGTCAATACCTCTGCATTGTAACGGGTGCTTTTTCTGTGGTGTAGTTCTTATCCCCTGTACATAACGACGCACAGGAAAATCGCAGCTCAGAAAATAGACTGTTTCGGAAGATTAAGATTGGCGAGTTTCGGAAATGCGTTTTGAAAAGTTCACTTTCACTTTTTCGGGAAAGAGCCAGTTTATGGCCGCCCTAAAAATGAACTTTCGACCCCAGGAAGATATTTTTAGCACGAAGGCCAGCTGGCGTCTGTAAAAGCTGAACATTTCCGTTCCTGTTCAAAGTTCATTTTGTATGAAAGGGAACTTAGCAGGACAGCAGTAGTAGCACAGCAGCACTGCACAGACAGACCGCACCAGACCACACCAGGGCGAGTAGCGACGGGAAGGATGTCGACCAACGCAGTCCGCCAAAGCTCGAGGACCGTAGCCCCCTCGTTCAAAGTTCGTGATAGGGTTAGCGACGACCAGGAGACTTCTTTTCTGGCAGCAGGGCAGCGGAAGGCTAGGGAACTGGAGGAGTTCGGCGGAGAAGAGTCGAGAGACAGCAGTGGCGGCTCTGGCAACCCACCTCCTCCTGCTGGTGGTCTTGAGGAGGATGGAGTACAGGTCCTGTCGACACCGCGTGGTAATATGCAGGCTAAGCCACCAAGGAAGGGCAAGTGGACGCTTCCATGCATGATCCGCGTTGCTGAGAAGGGTAAGTCTCTACTTACTGCTGTGTAGATGCGAGAGCGCGGCTCTCTTTCTACACATGGTCCATCTTAGGTCTAGACCGCCGTATGTCCTGCTACTGTTGCCTTGATTCGCAGATAGGATATAGCTCTGGCATGATGCGATAGGATCCAGCTCTGGCATGATTCGAATTTGCAGTTGTACGGCCGCCATCTGGTTCGCTTCGCCTCCCTCGAGATTGCTGCTGCTGCTGCTGCTGCTGCTGCTGCTACGATCGCGCGCGCAACTCGCAACTCAACTTTGTCCATGTGTACACACAATCGCACGATAGCAAGAAGAAGACACGCCCGGCCGCCGCATCCCATCAACTTAGTTAGGCTCAACACCGCCATACTCCCACATGCGGGANCCCACATCATCTGCCACGCACCATAGGTTTCGTTACACCCCCCCGGTTGCTGCCATCTGCTATCTTATTAGCATGCAGCAGTGTTGTTCGGCCATCATGCGCA